AAATACTTAAATGACAATAATCTTACAAAAGAAACTATTCACGATTAATGACTCATAACTCCATTAAACTTGATATTTTTCTTTTGGTATTATCAGATAGGATCTTAAAAGTAAACAATACTAAAAACCACTAATTTATAACAATCATTTTAGATTGTTCAAATATACTTTTCAATGATAGTCAAAATTAAAAACTATAGGAATATTATGAATATTACATGTGTATGACCTGGATAAACCTGGTTCACCACACACTAAAAATGCAATTAGAAAATACATACTCATTGTATGTTTGTCTAGAACAGACCAAGAAATAGAAGTAGAAAAAAAGGGAAATGGTAAGACAACTGCCATCCCCATTCTTCATAAGCACTTCATATGTAAGATGCTGGATTAAGTAGCTCTTTGTACATATACATAATTTTTGGCTTGTGTGACTTGCTCAAGGTCACAGAAGTTGGTGGCAGAGCCAGGCACAGAAGTTAGGTCTGATTCCTTGCTTAATAAATGATTCTTTATACTGAAAGAAAATTGAAAATAAAAATAATGATCAGGTCTGAGTGCCTCGCAGTTGTCATGATGAAATTCTTTTGGGATTCTTAATCAAATGATATAAATAGCATCATTATACGCTCTTACTTGTTTTAGCACCTGAAGTACCAAAGGCACTTGATGAGGGTAGAGCAACCCCTGAGACATTAGTGATAAGCATAGTTTTGCATCTCTCTTCAGCTCATCATAGCTATTGTCATTTTCCACTGGGGCAATCTAGAACAACAATTGAGAAATAAGACACAATGAAAAGTAACTGCCAATAAAAATAAAGGCATCTCACATGAAATAGATCACAATATCACTTTTAACAACTTGTGTGGAAAATTTTAAATATACACAAAACCTTCCTTCCCAAAAAGCCAATAATGACAAACTTACAGATAACTTGTTTACTTCCCTTTCTGGTATTGACTTTCTTCCCCTAACTAAATTTTAAAAAGCAAATCCCATGCACACTTCAATCATAAATCATTTTTTTAAAGATTTATTTTATTTTTATTGGAAAGTCAGATTTTTAGAGAGGAGAGAGAGAGGAATATCTTTCATCTGCTGGGTCATTCCCCAAGTGGCCACAATGGCCAGAGCTAAGCCATATCGGGCTTATCTTCTTGATCTCTCACATAGATACTGGGTCCCAAGGCTTTGGGCTATCCTCTACTGGTTTCCCAGGCAACGAGCTGGATGTGAAGTGGAACAGCAGGGATACGAATAAGCACCCATATGGGATCCTGGTGCATGTAAGGTGAGGACTTAAGCCAACAGGCTATTGCACTGGGTCCAATTATAAATTTTTTATTATGCTAATTTGTTAAGTTTTTAACATTTCAACTCTATCAAGTAACTTAACAGTCTGAATGGTTGGGTGATCTGGGGGAGTGAGCCCGTTTTTCCTTCTTGTCCACTTTGCCTTTCAAATAAATTTGAAATACAATTTTTTACAAAAAGGAAAAAACAATCAGAAGTTACACTTTATATTGCTAATGACACATCTAACATCTTACCTGGCTGAATACACTAATACTGAAGCTAAGATTGTGCTTTTAGGTGGTCATGGTCAATGTGCCTCACAGCACAGTTACTTTTGCAGACAGAACATATGTGTAGAATTTGAACATTAGGGGAGTTTAAAAAAAAAACTATTAAACTATGAGAGGAGTGCAGAATTAGGGATAGTTTGGGTGGAAATCAGAACTTCGCTTTAAAAACATTTGAGATGCTTACAGAAAAGATGTTTATAATATTATATTAGTTATAATAAGTAAACTTAAGTAGGTATTTGGAGTTCAGGGAAGTAACCCAGGATGGTGATACATTAACATAATAGATGATATTTAAAACTGTGAAACTGAGATCAGATCATGAGGGGAATGAGATGGCAAAAAGAGGTTTACAGAAAAAAAGTACAAGTTATAGGTTAGGGAGCCGAAGATCTTGGAAATAAGAAGGTTCAGCTAGACCATGACTCATAGTTTATATGAAGTAAGATAAAATCACTTAGGAAAATGAGATCATTATCAAATGATGTTTAAAAATCAAGTGTATGGCCTAACAAATGATGGCTGGGGCACTGGCATCTCCTAGTTCAGTGCCCAGCTTTCAGTGCCAGCCTCACTCTGGATTCTAGATTCCTGAAGGCAGCAGCTTAGGAGTCAGGTCCCTGCCTCCCACCAACCTAGACTGAATTCTGGGCTCCTGGCTTGGCCCTGGCCCAGCTATTTGGGAATGTACTAACAGATATGGGGAACATATTCATTTTCTCTCTCTCATCCTTGCTGTACCCATCTCTTATGTAAATGTTTTAAAACTTCAATTTAGTTGGTTTACATGTATTTCAGAAAAGAGCACCGGTGAGTGGTGTCTTTGTGGCATTGTATAATTCTTATTTTAACATAATAACTATCAGTGCTTAGTTTGTGGAATTTTGGTAATTCCATAAACTTCCTTTTTTTTTTAATAGAAGTAGTGAATACCTTTATAGAGAAAGCCGAAGGGAAAATTTTTTAAAACAGCATCCACCATTAATTTTTTTATACATCTTTTACCTTCTTGTCAGTTTATAAAATCAGTACATGTTCATTAATAAACCTGGACCATAAAAACTGACAAGCCTGACTGAGCACTCTGTAGTTTCTCCCAATACCGCTTTCATGAAGTGATCTCTAGCAGGATCCTGCCAATTATTCTGCAGCTTCATAGTACATAATGCATTATATACTTCTCCAGCCGAGTAGATAGGCCATATTCTTTTTGTAGTCATTAGAATGCAATAGCTCATTTGCTTGCTATGTCAGTTGTTCACAATGTAGACAAGAGGCAGGAGTGTAGTGGTTAAATGTTTGAATTTCAAAGTCAACTCACAATGATTCAAACTGAGTTCTGTGACTGATGAACAAACTGTTCAATTTACCTTTCAAAACCTTTTCTTCATCTGTATATGTAAAATGGAGATACTGAAAGACTCTTCTTGAATGGTAACTGAACTGGAACCAATGTTTTGGTTTAGCCAGTTAAACTACCACCTACAGTGGTGGCGTTCAATATGGATGCTGGTTCAAGATCCAGCTGCCCCAGTTCCAATCCAGCTTCTATCAATGCTTCTACCAAAGCAGATGCATTGAAAGAAGATGGGCCAAGCGTATGGGCACCTGTAACCAGTTGGGAGACCTGGATGAGGCTTCTGCCTCTGGATTTTGGCCTGGTCCAGTCCTGGCCATTGTGGCCAATTGAGGAGTGAACTATCTGTCTCTCTCTGTGTAACTCTTTCAAATAAAATAATCAAGCAAATTTTTAAAAAGAAATAAATAAAAAACATAATTGTATTGACCAAACCTGTCAAGTGGTGGTGATATTTGTATCAGGTTTTCTCATGAAATGAGAATTGTTTTTCTACACACAAACAAGCATACCATGCATGTAAAACTATAAGTCTGGAAATTCAGTAGTCAACCCCTTGGTTGATAGTAATTAAAACCACTTTAGAGAGCTTGGCATGGTAGCCTAGTAGCTAAAGTCCTCATCTTGCATGCCCCAGAATCCCATATGGGTGCCAGTTCGTATCCTGGCTGCTCCACTTCCCATCCAGCTCCCTGCTTGTGACCTGGGAAAGCAGTGGAGGACGGCCCAAGGCCTTGGGACCCTGCGCCCATGTGAGAGACCAAGAAGAAGCTCCTTGCTCCTGGCTTCGGATCAGGTCAGCTCTGGCCATTGTAGCTACTTCGGGAGTAAATCAGTAGATGGAAAATCTTTCTTTCTGTCTCTCCTTTACTGACTTTCCAATAAAAAACAAATAAAATCTTCAAAAAATAAAAACAAAACATTAGCTTTGGGCCTGGCACGATAGTGTAACAATTAAAGCCCTTGCCTTGCATGGACTAGGATCCCATATGGGGCGCTGGTTCTAATCCTGGCAGCCCTGCTTCCCATCCAGCTTCTTGCCTGTGGCCTGGGACCTGGGAAAGCAGTCGAGGATAGCTCCAAAGCCTTGGGACTCTGCAGCTGTGTAGGAGACCTGGAAGAAGCTCCTGGCTCCTGGCTTTGGATTGGTTCAGTTCTGGCTAGTGGCCGCTTGGGGAGTGAACCATCAGACGGAATATCTAGGCTCTCTGTCTCTCCTTCTCTCTTTATATCTGCCTTTCCGATAAAAATAAATAAACCTTTAAAACAAAATTAGCTTTGGATTGGCCAAAACTCTGGCTGTTACAGCCATTTGAGAGTAAAAAGGGATGGAAGATTTCTAATTCTTTCAAGTGAAAAATAATAATTCCTTTTAAAAATGGTTAATCTGAAATATATTATAGCTTTTCTTTTAATTTTTTCCCTAAAAATTTTTACTTAGAAATTCTTTTTTGTAAAACTTCCTTGCATCTGTCAAACTTTTGCTCAATGTTAAAATATACTTACCTATTCTAATTAAGAGAATCCAATCAAAATCTGTTGTGCCTATATTTGAAAAATATACTATCATAAAATAGAAACATATTCCTTATGATGGCAGGAGGATACATTCGTAATTTTGTGTATAACCTTACCTTAAAAAACAAAGGCAGAAGCTGGAGCTGTTCTGTCACAGCTGTAGAGAAGGATCTTCCAGCACTTGCCATTAGCCATTTCAATACTATTTAGAAAGAAACATGCAAAGGTCAATTTTTACTACTTACTTAGGAGCCAAGGGAGAATACTACTGTAATCTTCTGTCAGATAGCGACTCTGATAGCTTTTCAATATCATAACAGATAACCTATCCTACTTTATCAATTAGATACATATTGATCATTAGCATAATAGGACTCATTATAAAGATTATCAGCTAATTCACTCCTCCAGAATGAGTGCAAATTATTGGCAGCCCACCCAATACCTATACCAAATAAACTAGGCTTCAATAATCCTAAGGTAGCTAAGTCAGTATCCAAGAAAATTAGAATCCTTGAACAATTATTTCTTTATAAAATATTGAACGTTTTATAAATTTGTGTCTTCCTTGCCCAGGAGCCATGCTAATATTTGAATTTTTCCAATTTTAGTTTTTGTGCTTTGGAAGCAAGCACCTCAACAATTTTACATATAAAAGTAACAGAGCAGCAGCTCTAGTTGCCAAAATAATATCGGGGGCGGGGGGGAGTGTACATGATTTGTACTTTCTGATTTTGAAATTTATTACAAAGTTACAGTAATTACCAGTGTGATTACAGTATTGGGCATATATAAAACTAATGGAATAAAAGACAGAATATTGAAACAAACCTTTAATACAACCAATTTTTGACAAGAAAGCCAAGATTATTCCATGGAGAATGAATAGTCTTTCCTACAAACAGTGCTGGGAAAACTGCTCATAAGAAAAAAGCAAGTTGGATACCTTACTTGGCCTTATGTACAAACACTGACTCAGTGGACTAAAATCTAAATTAAACTAAGATTACAGAAATGTTCTACACTAGGATTTGGTAATGATTTCCAAGGCATTAAGACACAGTATCAAGAAGAGAGTGAAAATACAACTTTCAGGGAGAAATATTTATAAATCACATATCTGATGAGAAGCTGATTTCCAGACTAAATAGAGAACTGTAGTTCAACTCCGAAGTAGAATGGTGGTTGAGAGGGGCTGACGGAAAGGCAGAAGGAATGCTAAGTTACTGCTTAATGGGGATAGTTTCAGCTCTGCAAGATGAAGAAAATTCTAGAATTGGATGTGAATGTCATCAAACTGTATATGTAAAACTGTTAAAACGATAAATATTATCTTACATTATTTTAACTAAATAGTAAAAAAAAATAAAATAAAAAGTGTGGAGGGGGGGAATAAACTCACAAGACAATAAAAATATTTGTTTTCAAGTAAATTTCTAATAATTTTAGTCACTCACTTGTTTTTAAGAGTTTAATGCCCTGAGTTCGTTCATCTTCTTCCCCAATTCCATTTTCTTCCATAACATGATTCTGAATTTCTTCATCCACATCCATGAGGGGTTTCAATTTGTCAAGGATTCGAGCAGTAAACTCAGGGATACAAGGGGATGTTGTTGGCGCGGTATTTGGCAAAGACACATCTATCATGAATATGTAGGTCAGTACACTGTATAAAAAATACATAATTGTAAGAAAAGCTTCTAGAAGTCAATATTCCCAAGACAGTTCTTGCAGAAGGTCTCAGGTTCTGGCTTCTAAGCACACTGCTACCATAGTTTACTTTTAGAGGATCCTGTTTCCTTCAACACAATGATAAACATAATTTGAAGAGGACACCATGAATTAATTGGCATCACAATCAACACTTAGATGTTAAAATAAGCAGCACTTACCTCCCTATTCGTTCCCTGACATTTTTGTAAACCTGGGTGAGTTTGGGTTCCAAGTACTTCAGTAGTCTGTGCAATAGTTCAGGTACTCTCCATTCCTGCTGGGCCAGGCCACCTTGTAGCACATAAAGCCGACTAAAATTAAATCACAGGAATGATACGGGTAAGAGCCTCTGTCTTCAGTTCAGCAACACAGACAGTTTATATTTACTTGAAACTTGCCTACTTTCTCTACTAATGAATATCTACAATTTGAAACAGCATCTACATGGAAATCCCATTTCTTCTGCATTTGCATTTATTTCTACTACTATAGAATCAAAATAAATAGTGACTAACTGAGGGGTTGGTATTGTGGTGTAAGCTAACTGCCTGCAATCCTGGTATTCCAAACACTGATTACTGTCCTGGCTGCTCCACTTCTCATCCACCCTACTGCTAATGACCTAATAACAGCAGCAGAAGATGGCTCAAGTGTTTGGACCTGGCTACCCATGTGGGAGACCTGTTAGAAGTTCCTGTCTCCAGGCTTCTGCCTGGCCTAGCCCCAGCCATTGTGAGCCTATCTTATTTTAATGGAGTTTTCTAGAATTCTTTGTTGTTCACTAATTTCTCCAGTTTCATGTCCCCCTACAAACCAGTTTTCCTTAAAACAATTTCTCTGTTATTTGTATTTTTCTTAATTGAAAAGAATAACAAATGAAACATGTTGAAAAGTCAATGTACATGAGCAATCCCAATAGAAGAGGTGACAGGAGCCTGCTGGATTTAACTTACATCTGAACTGCTCAGGCTGCCTATATTTTTCCTCATTCTCAGTTGAGAGGTGTATGTCTACTAAGTACTCTATATTACTGAACCGGATCATATTATCTTCAAATAGAAGTAAAATAATTAACTCCTTCTAGCCTTGATGAGAATTCAGCTCATTTTCATCTACACATCAATTTAACACAAAACCTTTTGTGTTAAGCTCATCGGTTTTCTTTTTATTTACCAGGCATCTACAAAGGATCCTCCTTCTCCACTCAATGGCGACTCCAACAACAGCTCAAAAAGCCAGTGAAGTTTCCGGGGATCTCTGCTTTCCTGTGTTGAAAATATAATAAGTAAATAGAGGGCCCAAAATCTGTGAGCAAATATATAGAATGTTGTAGAAATATTAGAAATACATATAAACGAGGAAGAAAATAAAATAGACTGAATAAAGCTGAGTCAAATCCAAATTTAATTATCATAACTCATATAGTGTTAGCTATGCAAACTTTCTATGAATTCAGCATGAAAGCTATAGATAATTTCATGTCAAAAACTATAATATATATTTCACGACACCTAAGTTACATTTATATTTAAATATATGGTTTGACTTGTCATTTAATTTAAAAAATGCCATTTCCACATCATAGATAATCTAATCACTGAGTTATTACTTAAGGTTACTTGAAAGGCTGAATACAACCATCTCTAATTACATAATATGGCAAAAGAATGAGTAAAATTTCAATATTTAGAGGTATGATGAGATTTCATACATAATGAAGCACAGTAAGGAAAGTTAGACGAAGGAAGCAGAACTCACACAGGAAGTCGCTATGCAAGTCCCCCAGTCATTGTAAGTTTCTACTGTGATGTTGGACAATGCTGTTCTGAGCAGAGGGCACAGAAGTTCCCAAAGCTTCTCCACCTGCTCAAAACAAAATCCAAGTGTAAGCCTTACTGACACTCAGAATATTATTCTTCAATAATCTTCCTGGAAATATACACACACACACAAACTGATAAATTACCTAAGTGACTGTTTAGCCAGGCCTGGGTTAGTCAGAAGCCAGGAACAGGAGCCAGAAGCTTCATCCAGGTGTCTCACATGTTTTGTTGATTTGGAATCTGGCTGCTGCTGTTAATACAAACAGCTGGACTGGAAGTGGAACAGCCAAATTTCAAACCAGCAACCAATTGAAATGCTGGTGGCAGCTTAACATTATGCCACCATGCAGGTCCCTAAATGATTCAAATATTCCAGGGAAGCTCCTAACCATGTTATTGTACCATCTGAAAATTTATTCAGAAAAGATGGTTTATGTGGTTTCTTGTAAAATCTCTTTCACACTAACTGAAATTGCCTCTTCAATTTTTTTTTTAAGATTTTAGATTTTTTTAAAAAGATTTTTTATTTATTTTTATTGGAAAGGCAGATATACAGAGAGGAGGAGAGACAGAGAGGAAAATCTTCTGTCCGATGGTTCATTCCCCAAGTGACTGCAACGGCTGGAGCTGAGCTGATCCGAAGCAAGGAGCCAGGAGCTCTTTCAGGTCTCCCATGTGGTGTAGGGTCCCAAAGCTTTGGGCCGTTCTCGACTGCCTTCCTAGGTCACCAGCAGGGAGCTGGATGGGAAACGGGGCCGCCGGGATTAGACCTGGTGACCATATGGGTTCCCGGTGTGTTCAAGGACCTTAATCACTATACTCTTGCCCCAGGCCCTCCTCTTCAATTTTTTAAATGAAATAATATGTTGGGCTGAAACATTTTTAAATTTTTTGTGCTTACCAAGGTCATGGGACTGAATCTTAAAACACAAAACAATGGCATGTTAATACAATTCAGTAATTAGCCAGAGATGGTATCTACAATTTTAAAGTCTTAGGTTACTACAAATAGCCTTAAAAGAAATCTCTGGTAGTAGAGAGACTATTAATATATATGTAGGGCCCGGCGTGGTGGCACAAGTGGTTAAGGTCCTCGCCTTGCACTCCCGGGATCCCATATGGGTGCCGGTTCTAATCCTGGCAGCCCTGCTTCCCTTCCAGCTCCCTGCTTGTGGCCCGGGAAAGCAGTTGAGGACAGCCCAAAGCTTTGGGACCCTGCACCCGCGTGGGAGACCCGGAAGAGGCTCCTGGCTTTGGATCAGCATAGCATCGACCGTTGCGCTCAATTGGGGAGTGAATCATTGGACGGAAGATCTTCCTCTCTGTCTCTCCTCTCTGTATATCCGCCTTTCCAAAATATATATATATATATATATATATATATATATGTAAACAGGTGTTTTACACAGGTTAATGGGTCACTTTAAACCTTGACTAATGTAAATCCTGAATCATCTGAGGTGGGACCTTTGATTTTAACTTCTCAGATCTGCACATGCTGCAGGTCTACAGAACACAAGTTAGTAAAAAGGACAAATAAGGAGCAATGGTTTGATATAAGATTTCAGAGCCAGCACCAGGAATTGAGAAGAAAAACTTATAACATGTGTCCTAGAAAACAGAAATTAAAAAGCGGTCCTATTAAACACAGGATGAGTAGTTGGCACAATGGCTCAACTGGCTAATCCTCAACATCCAAGTGCTGGCATCCCACATGGGTGCCGGTTCATGTCCGAGCTGCTCTACTTCCAATCTAGCTCCCCGCCTGTGGCTGGGGAAAGCAGTGGAGGAAGGCCCAAGGGCTTTGGACTCTGTGTCTTTATGGGAGACCCAGAAGAAGCTCTTGGCTTCTGGCTTTGGATCAGCCCAGTAGCAGCTGTTGTAGCCATTTGAGGAATAAACCAGTGGATGGAAGATCTTTCTCTGTCTCTCCTTTCTGTAAATCTACATGCCTTTCCAATGAAAATAGATAAATCTTAAAGAAAAAAAGAAAGGATGAAAAGGATGTCTGTGATACATTTAAATAAGATTGTGTTTAAATTTTTACTTTTCATTTGAAAAGCTGACAGTGACAGAAGCAGAAACTGTCAATCTGCTGC